AGCTTAAAATAACAGGGTTCAAAATTACAACTTTTGGAATCATATCTTTTGTAAAACCACAACTTCTGCCCCAGTTTCTTTGAGTCTAAGGAATTTTGGATTTTTATTTTGATGGGACCGAACCGTGTAAGGGTGCCTATGTATCCTAAAAGGAATCAGGTCGAACGTAGTTCAAGACATAAGAGTTGCTTTGTTTTTTTGTCACTTTTTCTTTTGCTTTCTTTTTCTTCTTTTTTTATTTTCTTTCTTTTGCTTTACTTTTACTTCTTCTTTTTTTTCATTTTTCTCTTTTCTTTTTTTCTTTTCTCTTTTTTTTCTATTCCTAAACTCTACTTCCAATTCCAAAAGATGGGTATGAAAGAAAATAAATAAGGCTCAAAAGGGGTAACAAAGGATAAAAGTGTTTACATAGCAGAATAAAATGCCTTCGTCATTCCAATCTTTGAAACATGCCAAATACAAATAACGCGATTGAAGACAAACCAAAGAAATCATACATAATATCTCTTGACTGCATCAGAACTAACAGCCATATCTACACATTTGCCTTCTATATCTGTTAAATACAAAGCACCATTGGACAACACTCTTGTTACAATGAACGGCCCCTGCCAGTTTGGGGCAAACTTGCCTTTAGCTTCAGCCTGATGTGGAAGGATGCGTTTCAATACTTGCTGGCCCACTTCAAATTTCCGGGGACGCACCTTCTTATTGTATGCTCTTGCCATTCTCTTCTGATACAATTGACCATGACATACTGCCGCCAATCTTTTCTCATCAATCAAACTCAACTGCTCTATTCGGGTTTTGACCCACTCATCATCATCAATTTCAGCTTCGGCAACAATTCGAAGGGATGGAATCTCAACTTCCGCAGGTATAGCTGCTTCAGTTCTATATACCAGCAAATAAGGAGTTGTACCTACTGAAGTGCGAACAGTAGTGTGATAACCCAGTAAAGCAAAAGGCAACTTTTCATGCCATTGCCTAGAACCTTGCACCATCTTACGAAGTATCTTTTTTATGTTCTTGTTAGCCGCCTCAACAGCTCCATTTGCCTTGGGGCGATATGAGTGGAATTTCGATGCATAATCTTGAACTGTTGGCATACCTCTTTCATCAGATGACTGTTAAGATTAGCAGCATTGTCTGTGATGATTACCTTGGGGATTCCGAACCGGCAAATGAGATTTGAATGAACAAAATCCACCACTGCCTTCTTGGTCACAGATTTGAAAGTTACAGCTTTGATCCACATGGTGAAATAATCAATGGCCACCAGAATAAACCTGTGCACATTCGGTGCTGCTGGCTCAATTGGTTCAATGACATCTATGCCCCAAGCAACAAAGGGCCAAGGTGCAGATATTGTGTGCAACTCAGATGGCGGAGAATGAATCAGATCACCGTGCACCTGGCATTGATGACATTTACGAACAAAGTTGATGCAATCACGTTCCATGGTGAGCCAATAATAACTTGCTCGAAGAATTTTCTTTACCAAGACATATCCGCTCATATGCGGCCCGCAAACTCCGGAATGCACTTCGGCCATGATAGTCGAAGCTTGTTTAGCATCTATGCACCTCAGTAGTCCAAGATCTGGAGTTCTCTTGTCAAGATTCCCCCGCTCAAGAAAAATCCACTAGCAAGACGTCGAATGGTTCTCTTTTGATCACCTGTGGCCTGTAACAGATATACCCCCAACTTGATGTACTCCCTGATATCATGGAACCAAGGTTCGCCATCAAGTTCCTCTTCAACCACATTACAATAGGCATGCTGATCACGAACTTGAATATGCAAAGGGTCGAATAAGCCTTATCCGGATGGTGTAACATTGACGTTAGAGTAGCCAAGGCGTCGGCAACCTTATTATGGATCCTAGGAATATGCCTGAACTCTATTGATCTGAATCTTTGACAGAGATCATACAGACATTGTCGATATGGTATGAGCTTCAAATCTCGAGTCTCCCATTCTCCCTGAATCTGGTGAACCAACAGATCTGAATCTCCCAAAACCAATACTTCCTGAACTCCCATGTCTACAGCTAACCACAAACCCAGAATGCATGCCTCATACTCAGCCATGTTGGTGCAGTAAAATCGAAGCTGAGCTGTTACTGGGTAGTGATTGCCTTTTTCAGAAATGAGTACAGCCCCTATTCCGACACCTTTCATATTAGCAGCTGCATCAAAGAAAAGTTTCCAACCTGGCTTTTCATCCTGGTCAACCTCGTCAATATGAATCACTTCTTCATCAGGAAGATAAGTCCTCAATGGCTCATACTCTTCATCCACCGGGTTCTCAGCCAAGTGATCGGCCATGGCTTGGGCTTTCATCGCAGTCCGAGTTACATAGATGATGTCAAACTCTGTGAGTAAAATCTGCCACTTTGCAATTTTTCCTGTGCGCATAGGATTCTGAAAGATATACTTTGGAGGATCCATGCGAGAAATGAGGTAAGTAGTCTAGGACGACATATAATGCTTCAACTTTTATGCCACCCAAGTCAAGGCGCAACATGTCTTTTCAAGGAGAGTATACTTGACCTCGTAAGAAGTGAACTTCTTGCTGAGATAATAAATGGCTTGCTCCTTCTTGCCAGTGATATCGTGTTGGCCCAACACACAACCAAACGAATTATCCAAGACCGTCAAATAAAGAATTAAAGGTCTCCCAGGCTCCGGCGGGACTAGCACAGGTGGGTTTGACAGGTACCTCTTGATCTTGTCGAATGCCTCCTGACACTCATCAGTCCATTTGACCGCGGCATCTTTCTTCAGCAACTTAAAGATGGGCTCACAAGTTGTCGTGAGTTGAGCGATAAACCTGCTGATGTAGTTTAACCGTCCGAGCAAACTCATCACCTCAGTCTTATTCTTTGGCGGTGGCAATTCTTGGATGGCTGTGATCTTTGACGGATCCAGCTCGATACCTCGTCGACTGACTATGAATCCCAACAGTTTTCCAGACGGGACACCAAATGCACATTTTGTAGGGTTGAGCTTGAGGTTATACTTACGGAGCCTTTGGAAAAACTTTCTCAAATCTTCGACATGGTCGGACTGCTTTCTTGACATTATGATTACATCATCCACATAAACCTCAATCTCCTTATGTATCATGTCATGAAATATGGTAGTCATTGCCCTCATGTAAGTTTCCCCGGTGTTCTTCAAACCAAATGGCATTACCCGGTAGCAATATGTTCCACATGGCGTGATGAACGCTGTCTTTTCTGCATCTTCCTCATCCATCAAGATCTGGTGATATCCCGCATAGCAATCCACAAAAGACCCGATCTCATGCTTGGCACAATTATCAATCAGGATGTGGATATTCGGCAATGGAAAGTTATCCTTTGGACTTGACTTGTTGAGATCGTGGTAATCAACGCACACCCTGGTCTTACCATCCTTCTTTGGTACTGGCACAATATTAGCTAACCAAGTGGGATATCGAGTGACCCGAATGACCTTTGCATCCAGCTGTTTTGTGACTTCTTCCTTGATCTTCACACTCATGTCAGTCTTGAGCTTCCTTAACTTTTGCTTGACAGGAGGGAATGCCGGATCAGTTGGCAATTTATGAACTACCAAGTCAGTACTCAAACTCGGCATGTCATCATATGACCATGCAAAAATATCTTTATATTCAAACAGTGCTTTGATTATTTCTTCCTTGATTTGTGTTCCAGGTGTACACTTATCTTAGTTTCTCTAATATTATCTGGATCTCCTAAATTGATTGCTTCAGTTTCATTCAAATTAGGCTTGGGTTTCTCTTCAAAATGATTTAGTTCTCTACTAATTTCCTCAAATGCCACTTCTTCATCATATTCTGTTTCATCATCGCACTCTACCTCTTGGATTATTATTTCAGAGTTAGATTAGCTTTTAAGACTTGGCCGAAAATTTCTCATGCATGTCATGTCATTGAAACCAGCATAAAAAGAACTGTACAAAGAAAGACAAAAATGAAACACTATCAGGAGTAATGGAAAAAGGGAAATTGTATTTCATTGAAAAATAAAGGATAGAAGGGTTTGTACATCAAAACAAATGAAAAATAAAATCTGGATTACAACCCTGGAATAACCCAGATAACAGAAAGGAAAACAAAGCAAACTACCAAAACTCCTTCCGAGTAGGGAGAGGAGTAGCCTTCCAATTGCTAAGCTTTACTTTTGGCCCAACAAACTGCACATCCGCTTTACTGGAACCTTCTCCAATTTTCACCATATTAACCTCGTCAAATAGACTCTGTAACCTCTTGATCAGCTCTTCATCAAAGTCGACCACATGTTTTGGGACCGTTGGCATTGGGCGCTTCACGACCCCTGGCTTGACAAAGGACCTGGAGATGTGTGGAACAGGCTTAGGGAGTGACCATGCCTTCTTTTTCAACCTTTTAGCCCTCTTCATCTCCTCCCCTGTGGGCTTGAATCCCAGACCAAACGTACCCAGACTTTCACGTAGACACACTGGATGCACGATACCTTGTAAAGATAAACCCAGACCTTTGCCCGGCACAAAACCATTCTTCGGCATTTCATTTGCTACCATGACGGATGCGGAGGCTAACTTTGGACTTGGAATGCATTCCCCCTCCGGAATCTTCTCAACTGACACTGTTTCGAAAGTTTGGTAGACCCAAGGCCCTTTATCATCTTCAGCTTCAATAAACGGGACGAATGTATCATTGTAAGCACATAAGTTCTCATCACCGTGCACAACTATTTCCTGCCTGTCCCACTCGAACTTTACCATTTGGTGCAGAGAAGACGGGACTGCCTTGGCAACATGTATCCAGGGCCTGCCCAACGGTAAATTGTAGGAGACGGCCACATCTAGCACCTGGAACTCCATAGTGAATTCAACTGGTCCTATTTTCAGTTCGAGCATGATATTGCCAACAGAATCTTTCCCCCCTCCTTCAAAACCTCGAACACATATATTGTTCTTGTGGATCCTTTAAGTACCGATTTTCAACTTTTACAGAGTGGAGAGAGGGCAAATATTTGCAATATAACCATTATCAACTAGTACCCTCGAGACCACAGAATCCTCGCATTTCATTGTGAGATAAAGAGATCGATTGTGTTCTGTACCCTCTAAGGGAAGTTCGTCATCCGAGAAAGTGATCCTGTTTGCCTCGAATATCTTATTAGCAATCCTCTCCAAATGGTTCACCGTGATCTTATCAGGGACATGAGCTTCATTCAAAATCTTCATGAGGGCCCGCGGTGTTCGTCTGAATGTATCAGTAATGATAGAAGAGAAATCTGAGCTGGTGTTTTCCTTAACTGTTCCACGATAGAGTAGTCCTGCACCTTCATTTTTCTCAAGAATTCTTCCGCCTCCTCTTCGGTAACTGGCTTCTTTACTGGGATTGGGCTATCTCTGAACGGCTTAACTTTCCTTAATTCCTCTGGGGTAAAGCATCTCCCTGAAGGAGTCAACCCTCTGGTTTCATTAACTTCCTCCTCCACTTCTTTCCCTTTATAAGTCACTATCACTTGCTTGTAATTCCATGGAACAGCCTTGGTATTATCTATCGGCACCTGGGTCACGGGTTTAATAACAACAAGGGCAATGCGAGCCCCTTCCACGATTATGATAGGCTTACTTGCTACTCCTGGCACGACCACTTTCGGCTTTCCTTGCTTTGCTCCAACATCATCTGGGAACCCTTTCACGACTAATACAGGCGGCTTAACGTTGGGCGTGCATAGCTTGTCTGTCAGCCCTTCAGTTGTCGAGGATGTTGCATTTATAGAAACTAGAGTTTTGACTGAAGTACTTTCACTGGCACGGATCATCATGACAGACTTTGAAGACTTCTCGGGCTCCCCATCCTTATGCATTATCTCAATCATGTGCGTTTCGGCATGGGCTGGCAAAGGATTTTGGTTGATTTTTGGCGCTTTCGAGCTCTGGACCACAATTTGATTTGTATCGATAAGCTCTTGGATTGCGCTCTTCAAATGCCAACACTTTTCCGTATTGTGCCCTGGGGCATCAGAACAATATGCGCATCTGAGGGAATAATCTAGGTTCTTTGGAGGGGGATTTGGTAACTTTGACTCAATCGGCCTCAAAACGTCCAACTGCCTCAACCTTTGAAACAAACTGGCATACGACTCTCCAAGCGGGGTGAAAGTTTGTTTCCGCTGCTGCCTTTCCTTTCTATACTTTGGCCTGGGTCGAAAGCTTGGACCAGTAGGGTTTCGGTATGTTTGTGGGGGTGGATAAGGATTTTGTGGAGTTGGAGCACGCCATTGCGGGTAAGGAGGGGGTTGAGCATATGACTGTGCGTGGTGGACGTGGTATTGGGGTGATCTGACTGTATATTGAGTGTCTTGTGGTGGGAAGTAGTGTTGGGTGGATTATATGAAGCTTGAGTGTAGGTTTGAGGTTGGGGTCGAGGCTGGGCGTAATGGTGAGGTGAACCCCTTGGGCCATGCCACGATCCTGAGACGACCATAGCAACATCTTCTTTCTTCTTTTTCCCTAACATGCCCCCGGTGCCACTTTGGATCGCATGTGTGGTTGCTTTTATGGCTGAGTAACTCATGATCTTGCTTGATTTGAGTCCTTCTTCCACCATTCCTCTCATCTTTACCACTTCATTGAAAGACTTACCTATGGACGAGATCAGATGGCCAAAGTAAGTAGGATCCAAGGCTTGAAGAAAGTACTCCACCATTTCGTCTTCTTCCATTGGAGGGTTGACCCGTGCAACCTGTTCTCTCCATCGGAAACCATACTCTCTGAAGCTCTCACTGGGCTTTTTCTCTATCTTGGTCAGGGATAGGCGATCTGGAATAATTTCTACGGTGTACTGAAAATGCCGAGCGAAAGCCTGAGCCAAGTCGTCCCAAGTGTACCACCTACTATTGTCCCGGCAGGTGTACCATTCTAACGCTACACCACTCAAGCTTTGGCTAAAATATGCCATCCATGACTCATCTTTCCCACCAGCGCCCCTCATCTTGCTGCAAAACCCTCTTAAGTGGGCCACGAGATCTCCATGCCCATCGTACAAGTCAAACATGGGCATCTTGAACCCGGCAGACAATTGGACATCAGGGAACAAGCACAAATCCTTATAATCCACACTCACTTGGCTTCCTAACCCTTGCATATTCCTCAATGATTGCTCCAAACTCTTTAATTTCCTAAATATCTCCTCTTGCTCCGCGTTCTTGGGTAGTTCTCAGTTTCGACAGGAAGTTCAAAGTGAGGAGTGTAGGAGTAAAGATTCGAGACTTTGAAAGTGGGCTCTGGAGCATAGTATTGGGTATCTTGAGCTTGGAACGCCGGTTCACTAGAAGATCGATGGAGGGTAGCTCGCGAAGGAGCTACAAAGACAGGAGTAGATGGCGGAGCAGGGTATGCGGTTGTTTTGGCTAGTGGAGGTAAGGGGTAAAGCCTGGTGCATGCTGAGGGGAAAGATCAATAATAGTGGGATCTTGGGCTTGTGACAGTGGTGGGATGAAAGCAGGGTTTTCTGTGTAGTTGGCAGGGAATGACGGTGGAGGATTCCCCCTGATCCATGCTTAACACATTTCCACCATTTGGTGCTTCAGCTTGTGTACCTCTTCTTTCAAACCAGACTCAGATTCCACCATCTCTCTCGGTGGGTCAACAACACCTGTGTCTAATTCTTTGCTAGCCATGATTGCCTTGTGTTTTGACCTGGTGTTATATGGATGACTTGCCAGAATGCCAAACAAACTAACCACCTTCCTGTACTAGATTGCAACAGCAAACTTGTTAGTTTTTAAGAGTTTAACAGATAGGAAATCGCACGTTTAGGATGCAATGCACCTAAACAGTTAAATGCTCATGTCGTGTGTTTGAACAGTTGCATGCTTCATCCCGGCCTTAACTGACTCTTTTCATTTTGCATTTTCTTTTCTTTCACTCCTGCCTCTCTTTTATCACTATTGATTTTCTCACTTGGTTCTTGTCGCTCTTTTTTTAATTTTTTGCACTCTCTTTTGTTCTTTTGTTTTGTCACTTTTTTTCACTCAATTCTCTTTCCTCTCATTTTTTATTTTATGGCTATGATCGAATCCTATGGGGATTGCCTACGTATCATGACGCCACATGAATCAGATCATTACGTAGTTCAGGAAGATCGTGAATAAAGTAAATAAACTAACTCTTTCTTTTTTTAATTTAATTTTCTTTTTCTATTTTTTTGTCTTTTTTTTTAATTTTTTAAAGAAATACTTATAAAGAAGAAAGAAAATATTTTTTGATTTTTAATTATTCTTTTTTTGGAATTTTGAAAGAAAAACTTCTAAAGAAGAAAGAAAATATCTTTGGATTTCTGGACTTTTATGTTAAAATTGTGAAAGAAAGACTTCTAGAGAAAATATTTTTGAATCTTGAATTTTCTTTTTAATTTTTAAAATAAAAACTTCCAAAGAAGAATGAAAATATTTTTGAATTTTTAGAAGAAATTAAAAGGAAATATTTTTGCATTTTTTTTAAAATTGGGGTCTTAAAGAAAGACTTTTCTAAAGAAGGAAGTAAATAAAAATATTTTTGGAATTTTTAAAAATTGGGTGCCGAAACCGATGAGGCTTGCCTACGTATCTCACATCCGGTGAGAATCAGATCCGCGTAGTTCGGCCAATTTCGACGAACAGGAAAATATGATTTATTTTGAAACGACTTTCCTTCTTTTTTTTTTCTTCTTTTTCAAAATTTCGGCAGAGTTTCGGGGTGTTTTGGATACCGGGATTTTCAGAAACGGGTGATTCTCTCTCTCTTACCTCAAACTTGGTTTTTCTTGATTTTTCTTCCCTATTCTAAAAGTCGATCAACATGCAAGCCGAAGCAAATAAATGTACAAGTAGCACATAAGATGCATCAGGATAGTCTTTTAATTAGGGTACACCTGTCTTAGACGGACCCAACCCCTGTGTTGAGTCCTCAAAGTCAAATGCACGTGATGCAAACAAACGTTCCTACTAGGGATCCGGCATGAGGCTATGTTATTCTAAGTTTAAATCCTGGGTGTATTGTTCTAGACCTGGCTTACCTGAGCGGACAGAGCCGAGGGAGGGCAGTGTACCGGTAACCAAAAGATCATCCGGCTTTGCAACTTGTCCGAACCTCGCTCTAAATTAAGGATATGACACTAACAGAAAAAAAGTCAGGCCAGCATGCACTTCCCAGAAGATTTAGAAGACTCAGAGAGAAGAAGGGTGTCGTAATAGTTTACATACAGTTCACAAAATATCAAAGCGGTAAAAAGTGGCATTTAGCACATTAGGTTCAAACACGTAAAAATCAGATAATAAACAAAAGCCAAGTATAAAAGTTATTCTAAGCTCGAATTCTGAACCCTGAACCAATAGTTCTGGGTTCTCGTCCCCAGCAGAGTCACCAGAGCTGTCACACCTCCTTTTTCCCGAAAGGGACAGGGAGTTTTTCCAATTAAAGTGACGATAATCGAAACGAGATTATTTATATTCAAATACAGAGTCGCCACTTGGGATAATTGATGGTGTCCCAAGTCACCAGTTTAACATCCCGAATCGAGGAAGTTTGACTCTGTTTTACAGTCCGCAAAACACAGAAATCCGGGTAAGGAATTCTTTTAACCCGAGAGAAGGTGTTAGGCATTCCCGGGTTCCGTGATTTTAGCACGGTCGCTCAACTATTATTAATTGGCCTAATTATCTGATTAATGACATGTTTCATACCTATTGTGCATTTTTTTAGCTTTTCAAATCGCTTTTAATTATTTATGGAGTTATTTCTAAAACAAGTTACGATTGTCGTACACTTGTTTGTTTTTGTACATGTTGCGAATCGTGTCACGGGAACCGTACCCACAATCTACAACATGTGTATTTTATTAATATTCGAAGTTATGGTCGGGTTACATGAAATGCACACCCGAATTTGGATTTATGTATTGCAACTATGTCACGGGAACGTACCCATAGTCACGATAATTCATTATTATCGCGCCTAAAGCAAACTGCGAATGTATATTAAATTGTTCATCTCTTACGTTTTTGAAGGTCGTGGACTATGGAATCTATTGTGAAAAAACATGAAATAATTCAAGATGGGCTAGCTTTATTATTAACGAGAAAACGGGCCAGACATATTATCATGGAAATGGGCCTGGCAGATTATTTGTTAGGCCCATGTCCCTTTGCTAAAATTAATTTCCTTAAGCTCAACCACATGGTCAGCTCAAAATCAAAACCCATATTTCAATAATCAACACAACCCATTATCCAAAGCCCAACTTACTAATGATTTTTCTTTTCAATAACAAACACTAAACAAACCAAAAAAAAAACAAAATATCACTTTCATGCTATCAGATCTCTAAGCAGGTTAACGAATGTTTTACTTGTTAAGTATAATATCCACATTCTGCAAGATTTAACAATTAAGCTAAGCTCTCAATGTTCATTCAAGATTGGAATTCCAAAAGTTGTTGTGGCTTCGTTATGTGATTTGGGATGTGTGTGTAAAATTTCAGGTCATTCGGAGGTGATTTGGTTGGGTTTTTGATCAAATGCGTGTTTCGGAAATTTTAGAAGAACTTAGGTTTGAATTCGATGTGAATTGATGGTTTTGATGTTGTTTGAGGTGTTTTGATGATTGGAACAAGTTTAAATGAAGTTTGGGCAAAATATTTCTATATTAATGTGCCCGAGAGGCTTATGTGATTTTGGACTGAGTAGGGGATCGGGCTGCGCGCTGCAACGGTATGATATTGATATTGATATGAGGTTGAGGGGCTAGTTGATGCCACGATATGGCTTATTATTGCGCTTGGGCCGTAAAGGGCCCCTCCCGGAGTCTGCAAACCCACAGTGAGCGCCGTCGACGATAAATGGATCGAGCTGCACGCCGCAGCGATATGTGGAGCGGGCTGCACTCCGCAGCGGTACTAGTACTATTTGATGTGTTTACCTTATTTCATTTGTCTGCCATTATATGTTGTTTGTGCTTCTTCTTGCAATATTTACCTGTTGTTCTGGTATTATCTGATAACCGAGTCTGGTGCCCGAGAGACGGACTTCTGTGCTTATCTGCACTATTTGTTTTTGGCATCCATTTGCGTTACCGCTGAAAAGATCATTTTCAAAAGAGGTTTTAAACTGAGCTAAGATATTTCTAAAGGTTTTACAGCTTCACTGCTTTTCTCAAAGGGTTTTTCACCGCCCCTATATAGCATGATGGTTTGCTTTACGTGATTTCTTACTGCTCAGTTGTTATTTACCCTTATTACTCACTGAGTTGGAGTACTCACTTTACTCCCTGCACCTCGTGTGCAGATGCAGGTATTGATCACCCGGTAGCGGGTTTTGGCTGATCAGACGCAAAGCTATAGGAGTAGCGAGGTGACTTCCTGCGTTCGCAGCACCATTTTTTCTCTGTTTTGGTTCATTATTCCGGCTTGTATATTTTAGGTCTTGTAGTTGTATGTATACTCTGATAGATGCTCGTGACTTGTGACACCCCGGTTTAGGCTGTGTTTGGGTTTTATTCTGCACTTATTAAAGAGACCTTTTGATAGACTATGGTTATTTAAAATATATTAAAGCTGCTTATTAATGTTAACTATTCTAAAATGACAAGTTGGGTTAGTTGGCTGGCCTCGTCTTCACGAGAGGAGCCATCACGACCAGTGCGGCGTTTGGGTCGTGACAAGTTGGTATCAGAGCCTAGGTTACTAGGTCTCACGAGTCATGAGCAGGTTTAGTAGAGTCTCGTGGATCGGTACGGAGACATCTGTACTTATCCTCGAGAGGCTGCAGAACCTTTAGGAAAATTCCATATTCTTGAAATTCTTATCGTGCGACATTAATTCAACTTGAAACGTAACTCTTGAAATTCCTTCCACACGTCTGTATGCGTACACGAGCACTCGGTATCAGATGTGCATCGATGGCTTGTGGTTCCCTGATCGAGGGGCTAGATGTGATCTCTATGTGTTGATGTTGGTCCAGTCTAGAGGACTCGAGGCCGAATTGTTGCCTATGGCTTTAGCACCAAGGTGCTGATTGTGTGGACACGTGTTTTGAACTTACATGTTCTATGGTGTCCCTAATGAGGGAAGTAATGACTGAATAGCTACGTGATGAGTATGTGATAACT